TTAACCCATAGGTTTGTGTTATTTTCAACTTTGTATAGAGTAGTAATATTTGATTTTGTATTTGTTATGTAGTTCTAACATATCACTGATAGTGTTCACCTGGCAATCTACAATTTATCATGAAATGTATACGTGTGATTCAAATGTACGCATCACATTGCTGTCAATGCAAATATTACTCCATATGTTATGGGCCGAATTTATCAACATTGGCACACATTATATATACATATTGACTCAAGTTGGCACATGTCACAGTTTTCACAAGTACCAGTCTTTGATACTAATATTTATCATACTTTGATTTAATTGTTTGCGTCAAGTGGATGACACTGAACTGAAGACTTTGTATATTATATAAGAGTACACTAATTTGTCTGGAATTTGTTTTTGTTCACTGAAAGCAACATTTTAATGTGTTGTATTTTATCCTGACTGGTTCACGTTAGTTTCTGGCAAAAAATTGAAAATCTTTCGTCATTAGAAACCAACTTCTAACATAGATATGTTTCACTTTTGTTTCATCTTCTTGACTCACCAAAGTTTGTATCATTCAAAATTAAGTTTGTTTACATTATTTTTTATATTTCATTGACAAAATATAATTCCATGTTAAAATAAATTACTCTACAGTACTAGTCGGACCATATCAATTCTGGGTGGGGGTGGTAGGTTAATGTAGTGTGTTATTATATGATGTGTTGATTTTTTCACAGTTTTCACCAGCTGGTTCTGACAAGTGTTATACCTGTCCAGCTGGGCAGTCATGTGGTGATCCAACAGGAACTCCTACATTATGTAATGTAAGTATATCTCATGTGGCAAGTTATTTACCTTCACACAATGGTATAGTTATATAGCTTCGCAATATTAGAACATAGGTATCTTTCATGGTAGGATATATATCAGTAGATTGACTTAATTGTATGCACTCATACAGGGTATTATTATATATCTACGCTGAAATAAAATTTAACATTCTTTAAAATAACATATCAGCACTCATTCTAACATTCAAATTTATTCTTATATGTGGTGTCACCAACATTGAACTAGTTTCCGATTATTAAAATCACATTTGAACACACTACTTTACAGTGGATACAGAAGTGTTATACTGCGTGATGCAAATAGAATATTGTCATTCAATATTTGCACAAAACAAAATGGTTTTCATTAGGATTGTTTTATTGTTATCTCTTATTATATTTAACTAATACAGGCAGTATCAACCTCTGATACATGTATGCGTCAGTAGATATCATTGTTGTACGGCCATGGTATTCCTGTGACAACTACTCAACATACCAACTGCATATGCTAGTCAATGAATATACACTTTCGTATTGTTCTGATTTTTAGATTAGTTCTTCATTAATCATGTTTTGACTAATTGTCCAATCATGTGATCAGCAAATATCAGTGTGTGGTGGAAGCTCGTTTACTTTACAAAATATATCCAGCAGAGTACTGAACACAGAAAACACATAACCATGAACAAATATTGATACTTCTATTTAAAGCATCATATATTTTGTAGACGTTCCATTCCATAAAAGAACATTACCTGCTTTTGTAATGACATTCGTTTTTCATAAAATTTAGTGTACCCAAGGTGTACCCATTTAAGATGTTTTAAGTATGCAGGTGACACACCCATACTACTCAGGTTCCTTCTTTATTACTTACATGTACATGTAGTATGTCTTTTCCCTGAACAAGTGTAGAACTTGTAGCATTCATTTGTGTGAGCGTGTAAAAGGGATTTTTTGCAACATGGAGCAGAGAAAGAGTTGATAATATGTTGTGAGTGGGCTGATTTAACAAAAGTTTCAATATGCTTGTAGGGTCAAGTTTGTATGTGTGGAGTCAATGCAAACTCATCAGAAAGAAATGTTTTACCTCCATATTGGATTTGCAAAGGATTATGGGATAGACAAATTTGACACTTCTCCATAGAGCCCCATGTTAAAATCATCTTTTTACCTCCTCTGTTTTCAAGAGATTGTACATGATTGGCTATCCAATCCTCACACTTAACAGACAGACCAATCAAAGAGCAGCTTGTTTTTTTTCAACATTTCAAATTTTGTCCTGTTTACATGTTCTACTCATCTGTATAAGTATCTTTGTTATTAATTTGAATATCTGTATGATGTTATTTTATGTTTTCAGGTTGGTGAATATTCCAATGGCACAGCATGCGTTATTTGCCCGGCTGGCTTCAAATGTCCCTCTCCATTGTCTAATCCTACTGAGTGTGATTCAGGATTATATCAAGATAGTGCAGGCCAGTCAACTTGTCTTCAGTGCCCGGCTGGTTCTTCATGTTATAATGTTGATGAAACACCAGTTGAATGTGGAGCAGGATATTACAGCTTAGCTTATGAAGCTGCTTGTACAGTGAGTATAATTTCATAAATTAAGCGTGAGGATTGTTACTTGCGCACACGCGGGAATTGAGCCCCAAGCGACGATAACAACACATGCTAAAAACACAAAGGCTCATGGGTAGATGCTTGTTTGTAAACAATAACATGCTATGGTCATCTGGCGCATGCGCAGGTGACTACTCCCCCGCTTTAAAGCCGCCATAGATCGTTTGAATTAGACGCCATGAATTCTCATCAAAACAAGCCCACCAATGTCTAGGCATTGATTAAATGCCAAATATGCAAAAAGCATGTTCACACATGTTCACCTTTCTTCAATTGGTGTTATACAGTAGTTTTGATCTTCTGAGCTGACTGCTTATTTAGTAGTTTTGGTGGTAGCACTTTTTGCCAAGGCTATTGGTTTGGGGGTATTTTATTCAGTTGAATTGAAGTAATATTAAAAAACTAAAGTATCCTACAGTAAAATACTGTATTTCCACTTGCAATTAATTTACACTATTTTCGCTGAAGGAATGATTCAGTGAAAATAAAATCCAGTAAATATACCTTTTTTTCTATATTTTACATTCAACTCGTCAACAATCAGTGAAAATAAATTCCATACAAAACACCCAAAAAGTCTTTTCATCGAAAATAAATTCTAGCCTAAATAAAGTATTTTACAGTATCCAAAATCATGTTTTTTGTCTGTTGAAAAATTAAATAAATCTATTCACTACAACGCAAACCAACTGTACCAGAATCTGATTAAAACAAAAATGTTGTACAAACGTTTTGTGTCATTATGCTAACTCCAATCTTGCTTCAAAGTAAATAATTCAACCAATCAAAAAATCTTTTACTTCCAGAATTGTCGCAGTATGTGTACAAACAAACAATTTATTAACTCATAACAACCTACTGAAGGAGGTTAAAGGTTACAACAACAACAAAAATTACAGATAAAAATTAATCAAATTACAATGGCTAACAGTTTAAAGACAACCAGAAACAGACTAAATTGAAGTTAGTAACGGAAATATATAATAAAGTAAAATGAAACACCAACAAAAAACTATAAACTGAATATAAAAACAAAAACCCAATGAATAGAAGAGAATATACTGGTATTGGATTGCATACACATGGCCTGTGGCTTTGAATGAGTAAAAGTTCAAAATCATGCAAATTGAACAAGACTGTAAAAGTAAAAACAATAGATCGTATTTTACTCAGATTGCCTTCTGTTGAAATCAAATTTGAAGGCAATGCGAAGCTACATAGTTACACGATTGTGTCTGATTGGCCACCCAACCTGAATAATCAGCCAATCAGAGAGCAGTTTGTTGTTTTTAATGTATCAAATTCTGCCTTATTTGCTTTGACCCACTACTTTGATTTTGTAGGTGTGTCCTGATGGTCAATGGAGTGATAGTGGTGCAGCAACTTGTCAACAATGTCCAGCTGGTCAATATTGTTTTGACGGTTCAGCACCGACAGCTCCTACTGATTGTGATGCCGGTTATGCAGCAGCTGAGGGGGTTGGGATATGTTCCGCTTGTCCACAAGGTTAGTCCATGGTAACAGACGCAGATACTACACTGTAAAATCTGTTATACAGTCTGTATTACGTCTTCTAAAAATGGCACAAGGCATCAGAGGTGATGCGAACATTTGCACATGCTGTAAAGAATTTATTTTCACTGAAGGGATTTAATGAAAATAAAATCCAATCCAAAATACTTTCCTTCCTATATTTTACCTTAAACTCCTCTAAAATCAGGGAAAATAAACTCCTTACAAAACACCCAATATGTTATTTCAGTGACAATTTTAGCTAGAATAAAGTTAGAATAGAATAATATGGTAATATGTGAAATAGGAATGAGTGTGGCTTCTATTAGAGATGTGTCATTACAGTAATGTTTGATATTTGAATACCGTGTTTGCTATATTAGTAGTTTATGTAAATAACAAAGGTGTGTCTGTGGACATATTTGTATGATCTGGTATGTAAGAAATACAATGTTTGGCAATGCAATGTGTGTACGTCTGTTGTACATCTAAAAGAGCAAACACATATAATATAATATGTTATGATAAACTGTCACTGTAATGCAATAAGTT